TTTTATTCAAATTACTTGTTTTATTCATTTTATTTGAATAGAAAATCCTTTAACACATTATCAACCCGGGTCCAACCTGCATTCATTAATTATGTCCACCCGGACCCAACCCGCAATGCGGGTCCGGGCCGGGTTGGGTCCCATTTGCAGGCCTCTATTCCACATTAATCTAACCTTGAATTTCAGTTAACACATGCAATAAATCGTCATGTAAAATTTGGCTTTACCATTGAATCTGGTGAAGATATTGAGATGTCCATAAAAAATACAGCTGGTATACATGTGGCTAATTTAGAACCAAATAGAGTAAAAGGTAAATAAAATATTCTCACTATTGAATGAGATAACAGATATTAAATTACAAATAATTCTTTGAAAGATAAAACTAAAAAATTAGGTACGATAGCTGGCATCACCAATTGGAATGAATGGGTATGGCCTGATGAAGGTGTTGAAAAAGGTTATATTTTTGCACGGCCTTTACCAGGAATTGGCTCTTGGATAAAATTTTCTCCCCAAAAAATTGGAAATATTCTAAAGAATTATTCTATCGAAAAACCCAATCCAAAAATAAGTCAACACACACACTCAGATAAACCATGGACAATGCCATTTGTGGAATACAAAGGTATAATAATTGCATCTGTAATATATATTTTATTTACTGATTGTGATTTTTTTTTTAATATTAGAAAATCCCATAGAAGAATGTGATATTGAAGTAGAGGTGAAAATAATCTAAATGAAAATTTTATCATTAAAAAATCTAAATATTTTTATTATTCTAATTTATAGGATCAAATGATAATTGATTATGAAGAAAATTTGGAGTTAGATCAGTCTAAAAGGTTAATTATTGATAATTGATGACATTTATAATCATATAATTTTTTCTTACCTTAATTTTGCAATAGATTATTTGTTTTTGGGTGGGCTTTAAAAGAATTTCAAAAGAATCAAAAACCACCAATTAAAAGAATGAGTCCAAAGGTAAAAAACTTGCTAGAAATTATGTTTCATACAGGAACAGTAAATCCAAACCAAAAAATGACAGCTGATAATATGCACGAAGAACTTTTGGAACGTGTGAAGAACGAAG